CCAAAAAAAACATATAAAATATGTTCATATTTATATTCTCTTAGTTTACAGGAGTGGACATGAACACCTGCTGCGTCGCATTACTCTTATCGTCGAATGTACTTTAATGACGATTTTTAAAATTAAATTTTAATGACGACCACTTGTATTATAGGGATGAAATCATTTGTACATTTTATAGTAAAATTCCAATGCCAATCAGAACAACTGACGAGAGAATAGCAAACAAAAACGTTATCGTAATCGAAGTAATTGACGCGAGCGCCCAGCGATCGGCAGCACCGTGGAAATTTTAACGCCCGCTAGACCATTTCAGGGGCTTAATATTTTTAACACTTAAGCACGGGTTGGAGCGCGCTTTGTTTTTTGAATGTTAACTTTTTAAATTGGTACCGGAACGCAGGGCCGACCCTCAGCCGGACGAGTCGTCCCACTTTATTTGCCTCATTTCCAACGAGACTCAAATTCAATGCTAAGAAGTTCGGAGTTTTGCGTTTAATTTGCATTCTTTATAACGGACACTGGGCAGTTCATTTGAGCTTTATTTTTAAGACGGTTCATTATTACCATACAAATTTATATTTTCGTTCAACCTGTACTATAAGAATTCGTTTTTGAATCTTGAGCTTTGAATAAATTATTTATCATGATAGTATATTGGCCGTAAAGTGACATAGGAAAATGTTTTTATTGAAAAAAAATGTAAGATAAGACTTATGTTCCATTAACCATAGTGAATTTGCGAACACTCTTATACCTAATTTGTATAGATATATGAGCTTATAGATAGACGGTAAGCAAAAATACGTATTAATTGGATTCTTCAAAGATATGAAATTTTTTGTTAATATTTAAATCGAATAAAATGAGTTCCGTCCGAGCAAAGCTGTGTACAACAGCTAGTTTAGTAATAAATTTCGACAAAAGAATTTCATTACACTGCCTAAATGAATACATAAATTCTCTTACAATCTTAAACGATTCCTTCAAAAAGTCTTCGAGGCGAGCGCTATTTAGGTATGATCGGTCTTCATGGTCCGCAACGGATACCCCAAAATCGATGAACTATAAATCTATTGTCCAAGTTTGCACAGACAGTGCTGCTCTCTGGACTCAGAAGATTAATTTTCTTAGTTTAGATTGTTTCGTGACCCATTGTGCAGGCGATAATTGGATTTTCCATTCTCTCTATGATTTACCACTTATGCTGCTGTCTACTGTAAAATGTTATAGTTGATAAATTTTATTTGCCTATAATTACAGTTAATTAAATCGATATTAAAAAAAACCAGAGGTTTTATGCATATTGTATCGATTATCATTGCTACAAACCTGTGCCGTTTTACGGTTAACTTAATATTATAGTAATTATATTAAATAAAACTATTGAAAAAGATTACTGATGTTGCATCCCAACTATATTGTCAACCTTACGTTTTAATGACAGGTGGTTACTAAAAGCAATTAAATAGTTCTGTTTTACTGACGTCGTCATAAAAGTCAATATAACTTGGTGCTATTTTGTAGTTACGGAGCTTTCGAAATATTCTGATATCAAGAAATCCTTATTTATTCCGTAATTTAACAAAACATTTATAAAAATTAGTCAATATATGAATTGTTTACAAATTTTCAAAGCATTGTAAAAACCTCTGTATTTATATTTAGTCGGCGCGTGACAAAGAGATATAAAGTTTTCTTTTGTTTTTTTCTCTATGACAGATATAATTTAAATTCCGAAATCGTTTTTACAATTGTTGTAACAATTGTTAATACACTTTCAGTACAAGGTAAGTTATAAAAATAAATATCTTTTAGTTTTATACAAAATAAGTAGAAATTGTAATAAACTTTTAATATAAATGTAATATTCATGAGGCAGAGAGGAAACATTTTTTTCTTATCAAATATGTATCAGACATAACCTCTTGTAATTATCAATCACCTGCCTTCTTCCGTTAGAACTGAATACACGTTTTAATAAATAAAGCAATTGATATTGATCTTTTCTAATTGTGTTAGAGCAGCGAAAGTAGACCGTCGGGCCAGTCATTAAATATTTCTCGAAAGACACGGTAAGTAACTTGTTGGTAAGAATAGACTTGGATTATTGGTTTTGTCTTTTACGCCGCCTTTAACGGTAGAAAGCCGCGACGACTCCTTCATTTATGCAGTCTGTGAAAACTTGGCATGTTTTATTTTCCGTAAAAACAGTCTCATGTAAAATCCGTTTAACCACATTAAAAATAACAGGTTCGTAATTTTAAATGTGGTTAAATGGATTATTATTTTCGTTATCGATTTTATTTTGAGATTTTTACGTTGAGACTTGTTTAGCGCCAAATATAATTAAAAGGTAAATGAAATAATAAAACTCATTTGAATAAGTAAATAAGTAAATATGACCCAACGCCCAGAAAAGATTTTATAGAGACAATTAAACAGGTTTATTTAAAATAATAGTACAGATAGTATGCAAGGAGTTTATTTAATACAATAGATTGAGTCGATGTTCCCACTATTTCAATCGGTTGCCCTCGAAATAAAACGTTTGTAATAATGAGCACTTATGATCATGAGGTAGTGCTAATGATTTTCTTCTTTGGTGTATTATTATTATGTTTATCTCTTTACCCTTACAGAAATTATATCATGAAATATAGTCACGTCAAGTAGTGTGTTAAATATTTTAAATTTATGAAAAACTACTCGCTGCCCGCGACTACGTCTGGGCAGAAAGACAGATATACATAAAAATATGTATATAAATTATAACCTAAGTGTTATTTCGATGTATAAGCTATATTATTGTAAAGTTTCAATAGAATCCATTCAGTAGTATTTGCGTGAAAAAGTAACAAACATCCAATCAAACGACAAACTTTCGCGTTTATAATATTAGTAAGGATTATTAAGCCAGTTAATTTCGGCAATACGTATTTTCTCTATCTTAAGCTTACAGCTTTCTTATCTTCCTTCTTATCTGATAAAATTTAATAAAGTTCCACTTATAACACAAACATAGAATAACGAAAACCTCATATTAGCCTGTATTAGACGGGAATGAGGAAGTTCTATAAGCGGCCTAGACTGCACATGTTCCCAGTTTGTATTGAACTGTAACTAATTGCAGCATGTCATGGTGAATTTCAGCGAATTATGATAAACATTTATAGACTTTAACATGGTATAACAAAGAAAAAACGATCTCGTGCGACAGAATATTAAATAACTACTGTGTCATGATGCTCATACAGATGTGTCTTACAACAGGAACTTACGAAAGTATTCAGTTCTTTAAACAATGATTTAGCGTGACTTTAAAGTATTATCTTTGTTAACTTATGTTAAATGTTTACCTCAACAACGGTGATATAATAAGTGATTTCACGACTGTATCTAATATATTTTACGAAACGTCGGTTTTCTCTTCATAGTTTTGGTGTCATAATCGTTTTATAAAGGTATGTATAGAAAATTTGTTCTTTGGTAAATATGGCTAGTAGATAACGCTGACAAACGCATATTTAAATCTTTCCTTGAAGTTCAATCCCTTTCTACCTTTTCAACGTCGGTTTTCTAGATTTGCGTATTTACATATGTAATTGGAAAGGAGCCTTTTAGAATTTCAATTAGATCGAGTTCCGCTATTTATTTACTAGACGGCAACAGTAGAGGTGATATGTGGGGCAGCCTTTTATTATATGAGGAGGAGATATTTAACAATCTTAAATTCACAAACTTCACAACAGCTAATATACTATGCGCGAATTTATGTATCACTGGAACTGTAAACTAGACGTGGATATAATAGTGCCCGATAATACCTAAAGTGCTAAAAGAGTAGACTAGAATCCCGACGCCAGGCGACTGTGTAAACGAATTATCACTCTCCGTCAAGTATCACTATGATGTTGATTAGAAGTATTTCACATTCACCGGCTAACTAGTTCGAGCTGGTCTTGATTAGCGACGTTCGGTCAGTCATTTAACAGAGTACTCCCATAATTAGTATTTCGACTTCCAGCGGCATAGGTAATTTACAATAGATACAACCGAATGAATTTAAATTTTGAAATGAATCCGATTAGTAACTCGTCACAACATAAGTAATTAGTATTATTTTTTTAAATACATGAGTTGTACGAAAAGATCATATTTGGGCGAATGTAACATAAGTTACCAGTGGAGAAATAGTTGAGTTGAATAAACACGTTGCATATAGATTTGTTGTAAGCGGGTGCGAATCTAAATTGTAAACCAATGACAATTTACATGATATTAATTTTTAAAGTGATACTTACTGCATGTAATAATATAAATTAACAAAAAATTATTTAATAAGTCAATAAAGACAATGTAGATAAATTCTATAAGATTTTAATCGGTGGAAAAATAAGCGGCTTAGTTCAGTGGCTAGAGAGAACATCGTACGCATAACCCGGAGAACCTAAGTTCAAATACTCATAACGGTGTAAAAACTTTTCGTCCATTTTTGTACAATGATAAATTTTATATCTTATTTCTCACGTCAAGTAAGATTGAAGGAAGAAAGTTAAAACATCAAATGTAATATACATAACAAAAATGCTGTATGGTTAATAAAAATGATTATTTATGTGTTATAATAACTAACTCAACGCGACGACGCTAAGTAAATAGAATTTCATGAAATTGAAAGAGTATGACAAAGTGTTTAACATTTACCATAATACTCTGTAGCTTTGTCACAATCTTCTAGTGCACATTAAACTTGCTCACCGCAAAGAAGAGTCATAGCGACCATTAAAGTTTCAAAAGACTGACTCTTTAGAACAATACAGTAAAAATAAAATAATTTATACAGGAAAGCTTAACTTCAAAAGAGTCTTTCACTCAAAAATAAAGCGTGTTGTAGTACCTAAACAAGGTGGAACATTGTTTTGCATAACAAAGGTGGGGGGAAAAAACACCTCAAGGAAAACATAAAGCCACACTTTATTCGCGGGATACTTATTCAAATGAGTCTGTCCCTTCTAAGTTTGTTTTCAATCAAAAAGCCGAGCAGCTTTGTGCCGCTAAACTTTATAAATGACACGATTATCCGCGGCACGGCGTCGGAGGTCTCTCCTGCGATAGCGACGTGTGCCGGCCCAGCCCGCTCGGCGCCGCCCCTCGCCTGCGCCAAGCTGATAAACCCCTGGTCACCTGCGCTGCATGAATTGCACTGCTTTTTAACTATCATCCCGCTCCGTCCTTTAAACTTCATCCGCCCCGAGCCGCCCCGTTTTATTTACGACACACAACCTGACGGCTTTGGCGACAACTTTGAAACGTTCACCACGACGGCGCGCTAACAACAAACCGACGGATAATTAATTTAATTCCACCCTTAAAGCTACCCAAGAAGCAGTGATTACGCTGGAAGGTAATAATGGAAACGTGAAGAGTACAATAATACGAACACAGTGGAGTCTAGAAATAGTACATCAAGATTAGCTCGAGGCTGTGTTCTGATTACTTCGCTACGTAAAGAGAGCTTTGCTCGGGCCTCCTACGGTTTTAAGATGAGCATTTTGTAAACTCTTCTCTGACAAAAGAATCCACACACACACAGAAACAAACCAGAATGCACATTAGACAGATTGTAATTACAAAAAAAAATTTTAATGCGTACACTTTGAATGAAAACTGAATAACAGTTCAAATAAAACACTGATTATCCTGAAGTTTGCGTGTTACGTAAATAAGTGTTACCGTAGTCGCCGCGAAGAAGTTGCAACAAGGTGAGCTCGCATTTGTTCTATCCCGAGTATTACAATATTATATTATGCTCTCGGCACTTGCTTCGCGCCTTCCGCAACTTTCTTCACAATTTCCCTTGCTAGATATTCTATTCAATTACCTGAATTCAATTACAGTGGTTTCCAACTTTCAATTACAACCATCTGCGAATCCCGCAAATACGGAATTGGTATAGGAATCGAAAAATAAATGGGCAAAAAGTGGCCAATCGCTTGCTCAAAATGAATTGCAAACAATATTACATTTTGGAAGCAATCTACGTTAAACCAAAAGGGAATGATGTGGCAGCTCTTTATATTGCAATTTTTGTGTCCAAACAAAACGAATTTGCCGCGCAATCAAAGCGGGAATCCGATTGATGACATGGTGGAATAATTGTTTCGTGAAATTGAAAATATCACGGCTTGTTGCTATACGACGCCTTATAATTTCATATCATTATTTTATCACAAAGACGTACTTGTAAGTGACATTTATATGATAAAAGGATTTTGGAAGCTGGCATCTTTTATTTTAGTCTCCACTTGAGAATTTCATGAAAGGGAATGATCGAAAAATTACCAAGCAAAATAAATTTATTGCTCTTAGAAATTTATCGATATAATTTGCCCGAGTGGAGTAATAAAATTTAAATACATCGATGTAAGGATGTCTGAATAAATAATAATAAGGGTGTTTCTATTTTCTATAAAGCCGTATATTATTTTTCTTTCATCGCAAACATAGTCCGCTCGCATGAGCGGCAACCTCATTTGAATACTCATAAAATAAAATCTATTATGTAAGTGCCACATATACATAAACTACCACATAGTAATAAATTGATATGTGGGTCGATTGAATACGAATAACCGATCACTCAAGTGATAAGCATATAGTCCAAATCTTCGAGGCTCATCACACCTGTGACAAGTACAATAAAACTTTACCAATAAGCAATATTTCATAGTCAAGTTCGATCTCAAATACCAATATACCATGAGGCGATTTTCTTCGTAGGTACATAAGTCAAAGAATTGAAGATAAGTTATCGGGAAAGCTCCTGGCATATTCATTTTGTTGAATGTGGAATCCTATATTAAACAGGGTTGTCCCTAGTATATAGTGCGTTCATTCTTTTTAAATTACACATTTACAGAAGGAGTACTGATTAACTTAGAAGCTTATGCTATTGACGTCAAATTTAAATGCTTTCAACAAATTTACATAGATCAAAAATGTTTAGACAACAATGGGCCACAAAAAAACGACTGAAAAATATTGAAATATTTGGGACAGCCCTGCGATAAATCTTGAAATTTTCCAAGATGTTTGTGCGTCGTAACTACTTACGTACGTAGACCAAAAGTTGCTCGCCTACAAAAAGCACTTTGAGTAAGAAAACCGAGGGGAATCTTTTTGTGGTAACTTGGATTTGACTGAGATTACACAACACGGCGGCACGGCTTTCAATTCGAATTTCAGTAATAAGCAATCTTTAACAAAATAAGAAGCTTTGCAACCGTCGAAAGCGTATAGTAAAATCTTAATAATTTTCAATTTCATTACACCGCTTGCTGGTTCATATTTGTCACGAGTTTGTCTCATTCCGTGTGAAATAGATTACTATGCGCTGTCACGAGCTCGGCGCACCTCAAAACTGAGGATCACAGACTCGACAGCAACTTCCAGTATTCATAACTTGTGTGTTACACTTGTCGTGGACTGCGATGTTTGCGGAGTTAATCTTCAAACCGAAACTGTTTTAGATTTGAACCCCTTGTTTTAGAGTGATAATATTTCTTGTGCTCCACAATAAATATTTGTAGTAACATGATTGTAATGTAATAATTTATTGAATAATTTTTTATGGCTAAGTTGTGTTGAACCATTATTAGTTTGTAAAGAGGATTTTGTTTTCTTTATAAATTCGTTTATTAAAATCTAATGCAATCTAACCTATTTGGCAAACTCCTAGAGTGAATAATCAAAATAAAGACTGGTTTATAACTTCCTTAGGCCTGAATGTGTAAAGATCGAATTGGGTATATATGATTTGTAATATAATTAGTAATAGTTTTATCAGTAAAAACAATTGCTATTTTTGTAATCAGATTACACGAACAAATTCACTTTTTTATTATTCTTTTTAGTAATCTTTTTTTTTTTCTTGTTTTTTTTTTTTCAAGTCTCACTATAGGCCCGTTGGGCATTTTTTGGTGGAGGAAAAATTCAAAAGTGCGCTTCACCAACATGCTAATTTCCCCTGTTTTGTCTGTTTTGATTAGTTTTTAAACTATTTTTCTATGAATGCATTAAGGTTAAACCTTGACTTCATGATAGCTTATATATTGAAAAATTATGAAGAACACTAGTTCGGAAAGCTATGATAATTTTTCAATCAAGGAACAAAATTTAAGGTATGAGTTTAACTTATACTGATTTTATGTTTAGATTGTTCATTTGAAGTTTTTGTTCATTGATGCAATTACGTTAGATTATACATTATACGTTACCGTAAGTTATATAGATGTTTACATAGTCAAAGATTGTCAATAGCTTTTATATCTTATATTATAAACGTGTGTTAGGTCTATGCCCTCTTATTATATAAAATAATTAATAGATGTTTGTTTTTATTGCAACTTTTCGGCATTCATGTGCACGGGCATTATATTACACTACCGCCTTCCGTTTAGTTTTTCAGTGGTTTATTTTGTTTTCATTGTTGAAGGACATGCATTTATATTTGTTAAAATAATTTTGACACATTTTACTCGTGATATTTGTTTTTTTATGTGAAAAGATACCAAGCGAGCAGACGGTTCATCTGATGTTAAGTGAATACCGCCGCCCATGGACATCTGCTACACCCGAGAGTTCCAGTTGCGTTGACAACCAAATTTCGAAAATTCGGCTCCGGCCACCACACTCACCAGACGAAAGTATTATACTTCCACTATATGCCGGTCTTCTGTGAGGTCGTGGTACTTACCCGGACAAGTCTGCCCATTCGTGCAACAGCCGAGGTTGACGCGTGGCCCTACCACCTTAAAAACATTTGTAATATTTAAATTTTGGTAAACATATTAAATTGGTATAATATCAATCATATACATCCGGCATTTATTTATAAAGCTTCTTAGTGCCTTCATAAATTTAGTTCTTATTTCCACTTTATAAACATTTCTTTATTTTATGTTCGCGAATACAATGTAAGTACGTCACATTGATGGAAGGATAATTTTTATTAAAACATATTTACGACAACAGACAAACATGTCTATATTCTGTGGCGAGCTTTTTTCCTTTTACTAGTATAATAGTATATAGTAAAAGAAAAGTATAGGCATTTTTCAACGTGAATCATTTTTAATGTATGTAGGTATATTTTACCTGCTAAGTACTATTATTTCACGTATTAAACTAATTGTTTTTCAGTCATGCATCATTTAATCACCTTTAATGTTTTCATCAGTGTTATGGTTTTTATAATTATTTAATATTTAGTTGTCGTCCAGTTCTAGATTATAAAATGTTTTAATATTTTACACTTAGACAAAAACATGCATTATTTGAGCTTAGAACTGTCTTACCATATTTCAATTCATTGCATTTTAACACACTATAGGTGCAAAGGAATCAATCTCCTTTAAGCCTTACTGGTCACGTACATAATCTTTTCTTGTATTCGAGTTTATATAATTCTGAAACTTTAGGTAGTTTTCATTAAATTAAATATGAAATAAACGATATCATAAAATATGGAAGAAAATTCTATCAAATATATTTTTTTCGTGATAAACTTTTCTACTCACAAAACCGAAAAACATAATCAATCTATCTATACACATAACGTTTTAAAAGTTGAAATTGTGCTTTTTCATAAAGAAAAAAAAAATATGGTACGAATTACAAACATATTCCTGAACCAACCGACATTGTCAAATTTAAACCAATTATCAAAAATGGGCACTCAATTACTCCAAGGTCGTTAGTTAGCATATTAAATGAATTATTAAAATCGGAACGTGAATGTACTTAATTTAGGTTTATCGTTATTTTAACAGCAATAGGTGCATGGTGCGTTAATAAAAAGCTTGACTCATAATCAGACCATTTAGCTGCTTATTCATCGCATCAATATGAATACCTAATGAAAACGGGAATTTGAATATTGTGCAACAAAATTTACCGATATTCGCTGGCGAAATTATATTTAGTACTCCTGCATTGATGCAACTGCAATACCAGTAATTGAAACATAAAATACGGCTTGCAATAATAACATATCTATTACAAGCAAATGAATACATACATTATTACTCGAGATTTTAAATAAAATGTCAGAGTAAAATTATCGCGTTATTCAATACGAAATATGGGGTACCATATATATATATATATATATATATATATATATATATATATATATATATATATATTGCGATTCGGGGCTGTTTTATAAACAGTAGTGTGAGATAACGCTTAAACGCGTAAGGTTGTTAACGCTTTTTTCACTTAAAATACATAAATATTTTATTCAAAACAGAAGTCACATAATACATTT